GCAGGCTCATCTGGACACGTGTAGACCGCCTGGGAGGAACAGAGAAGATCAGAAGCACTCACTCACAGTTCAGCTGTAAAAAGCTCATGATGGTTGATATTAATAGCAGCTGAAAATGCTTCAAAGTGAACATGAAGAAAATGTACTATATACTTTCTGTCCCAGTTTAAGGGTCAGTGCTTTGAGCATATAATATCTAAAAGACAGCCGCTCTAATTATTGTTTCATATTTATTCAAGCTCCTTTAAAAATGTGTCTACAGACTGCACAGCCCTTGGGAATGAGCTGGTCAAATCAGAACACCTTTCCAGTAACAGATTCATATTAAATGTATTAAACTCATTAAATTATCGTAATTATTTTAAACATTACTGACAAAAAGCTGTATTTATTCTCTGCTGGTTATCCTAGTTAAAAAGACCTCGTTTAAGAGATGTGGAACCTCTAATGCTGCAAGTTTGTGATTTCTATTTGGATCTTAGAATGTGATTTCAGAAAAACAACACTTTTAACCTCAATGACAAGCAGCAGATTATGTACACATGAGACATGACCTGACAGTGAATCGAGCAATTAATCGTTAATCGTACAGGTCAGTTCAAAAATTCTCTGCCCGCTAAACTGCCTCCCACAAAGTAAACTGATCTGAGTCATTTTAAACACTTACAAGGTCAGAAATGATGGAAAATATGTTAGCTGTTTGTTTTTTGCCTCTCTAACTCAAAAGCAGACTGTTTACAGTAGCAGGAAAAGAAAACAGCAACATTTTAATATTTAAAGTTTCAGCACTGCTGAACAAAACCAGTACTCCAAACCATAAAATGTGCCTTTTTTTAATTAAACTATGTTTGCTTTTTGAGACACTGCTTTTTTGTGTGTATATTTGACAAAGTACACATTAAAGATGGACGTAGCCAATGCACATCCACTGCTTTGTGGAATCATTTTAAAGTCTCACAGTTTACACTATGGCCGACATTACGTTGAGTTCTTGTACCCTGGAGTTACCATGTTTAGTGGGTGGAGTCTCAGCTAATTCGCTGAATTCAAGTGGTCAGTTGAGCCTTTAGTTTGTGTAACACCCAATTTCCCACAAGGTGGTAACAAATTACCTGCACAGTCAAGGTTTGGAGAGCAGAGATCAGACTAGTGCCATTTGACCACAGCCCATCTGTTACCTTTACATAGTTTGCGCTTTATCTCAGTGCAAGACGTTTTTTCATTACTTGAAGGACTTTGATAAACATTTTCTGTCATAGTATTTGGGTTTGCATTTCACTTTTGTCTGTATAGTAGCCTATAACATCAAAGTACCTGTCTTTTTAAACAGATAACTTGTAATTAGTAAGATGTTTTTCTGTGGTAACCTGTGGGTGCATTACTGCCACCTTCTGGAATTAGTAACACATCATACCAGTCACCAGGTCCAAGAAGGAGTTGCAGAAACCATTAGATTTTTCAGAAACTTCATGTCTGCTTTAATATTAAAATATCATGGTCATTGCTACAATAAAGCAATGATATTAACACTGACAGCTGCAGGAAGGAACAAGCAATTGTTTTTAAAAGTTTAAACGGTTGAAGAGCCAAAGTAATCTTTATCAAGTTGAATACAATGAATAGAAAAGGCTGATTCTAAATGGATGATGTCCTTTACGCAACCCTAGAAAATGTAGCTAAAATAATGACTGTGGGGGGGCTGACAGTTGTCAAATATACTATGTCTACATTATTGACTACAATAAAATAATAAGGTCCCAAAAAGTTGATTCTGTTCATCTGGACGTAGCATTTTTGGTAGGAGAAACATTTCGTTACTCATCTAAAGGACGAGTGATGAAACTGGGCACGAGCATGCGTCAAGGCAAAACAATTAAAGGTTACATTACATAAATCGTATCACTGCTTATATAAACGCATGAAATCATCAACACATATCAGATTGAGATTCTAAAGGCTGGGACGTGCTTACGCCCTTTTTTACCCCATTAATTCCTGCACTGAATTTTTTAGCTTTACCGTCAGCTAGGAAGATAAATGAGAAGGACTCTTGTTTATCCAGAGTAAGTAAGCATCTTAAAATTACTCCTTGAAATAAACCAACTGAAATAAGGAGATCTTCAACTATATGAAAATGGCCAACAAATATTAAATTAAAATGTGACTGCAACAGAAACAAAGAGTAAGGGTTATTTTAAGGCTGAAGAAATTAACTTCTACTCTGGTTCGCACATATTTTAGTGCATTTGGTGTGTTTCATACTAAAAATGAGTAAGACTAGAAACACCGTTTGTCAAGCTGTCGATTTCTGATTAACTGACCCGAATGTTGTCCAGGACTCTCTTAAACTCCAGCGGCTCATCCTTCCCCTCCATTGCAGCGGGGTCCAGGCCATCACCACCATAAATGAACTGGATGATGTCGCCTGTTGAACTGCGTACTGTGAGGTCATACTGTGAGCACAAATCCTCCAGAGACTTCACCAGACGCCTCTATTAAAATACAGAGAAACGACACAAAATAATAATGACACTGACACGTCCGATGGAACTGCAAATTGCATCAACACTGCACTATGAGTGTGTAACCACAGTCCGCGTAAATGAATAAGAAACCCTAATAAGCTATGATGAAAGTGCTCCAGATATGATTATATAATAATATTACATACTATGAAATCTTAATATTTAATGTGCAAAGTTAGACTGATTTAAAATATAAATTAAATTATGGGAATGAGGCTTTTTTAACATGACGTACTGTAAGGAGAATGTCGTATGACATTTTTCCTTTTTTCACAATTTTATATGATCTCATGGATTAATAAATAAAACACTGAAACAGGCAATATTACTTTGTGCAATAGGAAATTTACTGGAAAAAAAAAAAATCAATAAAAACTTAAAATATAACACGCAAAAAAAATGCTAGCATCATATGGACAAAGTAAAGACCTGCAGTGATTCAGTGTCAGCAGTAGTCGTCAGAAGTGAACTGTGTGAAAAGGCCCAAAAAGCCTTACCTGCATGTACCCAGTCTCTGCAGTTTTCACCGCAGTGTCCACCAGACCCTCTCGACCAGCCATGGTGTGGAAGAAGAACTCTGTGGGCGTCAAACCAGAATAGAAGCTGTCGGCCACGAACCCTTTAGCAGCAGGCAGCTGTAGAGAAATCATCAGTGAGCTATTAACAGAGCTTTGAGTACTCTAAGAAACTGTTATCCAGTTGCACTGTTATTTTCTCAGAGACTAAACATAATGAGACTAGAACTGATGAAAGCTTTTGGAGCATAGGATGCAGGAGTCGCACAATGAAATAATACTACGAAATAATCAAAGTGTATCAGAGCCTTGGATGCAACACATCAGGTCTACAGTCAAACACCAAAGTTTGTAGCGTATAATCTCCAGTTACAAGAACAAGCCTCAACAATTAATTGATTAATAAATCACAAAAAACAGATCCAGAACTACAACATGAGTGGCACTTGAGGACTACATAGTAACACAATTACAACAAATAAATAAGGTCTTACTTTTGAGTGTTTTTCAAAGTGAGGCAGGGAGCGATTCTCAAACCCATTAGGTACTCGAGAGCCGCTTATGGCCTGCTGGCCCACACAGGCAATCATCTGAGATATATTAATGAAGGATCCTGCGTTACACAGCGGGGACAGATGAAAAAGTGAGACACACTAAACAATTTAGCAATTAACAGGTTGGCAAGCCCTGAAAAATAGAAACACTGTAGTTTAACGGTCTCTTTATTAACAGCTTATCAAGCCTACTGAGTTTTGTCATGCAAACAAGAAATATAGCAATCTTACATCCACCTGTTCACATGGTGACGCAGGGCCTAGTTCATGAACAGGGTTATAAAATGTTAAATGTAACTGATGCTACTAAAGTTAGTTCAAACATTAAAGATTAGGGCTATAACAGTGCTGTGACAGGGCTGTAACACACTTTATTTGAAGACAAAGTGTGTCATTATTTCCAATGCTGTGTCTGCAATACCCAATATATTGGACTTTGTTTGAAATCATATAGTAAGAAAAGAAAAACCAAAACACTCAACTAGAGCCAGCGGTAGACAAAAGTGTCCTTGAGCCTCGTATTTATGCTCAATGCGAGCTCCACTTTGTGATTTTTTGTAGCTGATTTGTGAAGAGAGAACAGTCGCAGATTCTGGCTGTGCAGTGAGGCCAATTAAAACTGTAATTTAAAATGCAGTGTCTGTTAGCATATCGCACATTTAATAAAACTCCTATGTCTGCCCACCTTTCAACGCCATCCTCGCTAGAATGTTGTAGCTAACGGACAACACTGCCGGCATATTCCTGGATTTTATGGTGTATAAGTATGTTAACATAAATTGTCTTCTGACAGTAACAATCAGGCTCAGAGTGCATATGAATGCAGGAAATTTTACTTCTTTATTGCCTTTGAGTTAAGATTATGTTTTCTTGTCCTGGCAGCAATGATTATGAAATTTCAATCATAATATACACATAACTGTATAACGTCTATAATAGCTTTTTGTCCTTTGAGTCCTTGAGTGTCGTTGTAAGTCTGTTAGTGCTAATAAGCCTGACAAAAATGTGACTGTTGTGGTATTATCTGATTATGTAACCAGGCTCTTTTGGTTTCTGTCTTACAGTTTTTCTGTCAAGTCCTTCACTATTTACCATTACAAAGAGCTAAAAAAAACATCCATCCATGTAAATATTGTATTGACAACAAGAAGAAGACACTTTGTGTCTCAGAGCTCTTCAAAACATTTTTTTCCAGCTGCACATAGACACGGCAACACCTTCATCAACCATTTATATGAAGATTTTACGATTTGTTTAGTTTGCTTTCCAGTTAGCTTACCTTTGGACCCACAGAGAGCCATAATTAGAGGGCTGTTGCTCTTGTCCAGCTCCCTTAGACAGGCACTACCAGCTCGGTCTCTGATGACAGACAGCTCTTTCAAGATGAGAGCCTTTTAACAAACACACACAAAATGATCTTGAAAGACGGCACACCAACATCTATACTGTTTTCTTCTTCTCTTATACAAAAAATAAAAATTTAATATCACACTTCCTTTTCTTCAATACCTTCAATGAAATCTTGTGAAACTTTCTGAGCCTATAAATATGAACAGAACAAATCACAGCATTCAACATTACTTTTTAATCTTCCACAGACAAACTGGATGATTTCGTGCTGTACTCTCCAAAAACTACCCCAGCCCAAACACATTGCTCTTTCTCAGTCTATGAAAACCCCGATGATTGGACAGATCATCGTTGGAAATGGCCCCTCTGCGATATTATGACTATCTGTCAGTGAAGATCTTATTTAAGGTCAGTGGTTGCCAATGTGCAGCCTACTACAAGACTGAAGAAAAGTTTTGGGTTTTACTGGCAGTGCTTATAATTAATAACATGAGAGAAAATAATGAAATCACCACATTTGGATGATGTTCATTCAGCTTTCTTCTCAGGTTTTTAGCAAATAAATAACAGATATGACAAAAAAGGACATTGGTTTAATAACCTCAAACAAATTATAATTTAGATGTATCAATTAATGGTGTGTTCATTTCCAATCAAGCAGAGGAAGAAAAAAGGAATAGGGATTCATAAAAAACAAAAGACTTTGTTGCTCCTCCCTGGGCTTTTATAATGACCTTAACTGTTTGAGTTAAGGCCTTAATCAAACTGATTCCAACTTTCTCAAACAAAAGCGGTCAGTTCAAGCTTTGCAGGATGGAGCCTTGTCATGGACTCATTTTTTTTTTTGGTAGTTTCCACATCTGCTGGATTGAGAGCCAGACTGCTTGTTCGCCATGTCACTCTGTTAATTTGCCAGTGCGGAAGAAAAACTTTAATACTCAGCAACATGAATTGCACTGAAAATAGCATCTTTGTCACCAAACCTACTTTCTATCTATTATCCATCAGTGGAATGAGAGAAGACTAATATTTCTGTGTGCATCTGGGCCTTTACTACTGAGGTAATGATTGCCATCCCTCTTTGGTATATTACCTGTAATGTAAACCCATAACATAAATGAATTGAACAATTTGCCTCTTTTCTTTGCACACCCACAGACCACTTTGTTAGTTACATCTGTCCATCTTCTCATTAATGTAAATGTCTAATTAGCCAATCATATGGCAGGAACGTGATGCATTTAGGCATGTAGAAATGGTCAAGATGATCTGCTGAGAGGAAAAGCAATTTAAAACATCCAGTGAGCTCCAGTTCTCTAGCTGAAAATGACTCTTTGATGTCAGGACAGAGGATGGCCAGGCTGCTTCAAGCTAATAGGAAGGCAAAATAAACTTTACATTACAACCAATGAAGGCAGAACAGCATCTCTGAATGCACAAACCTTGAACCAGATTGACTATAGCTGCAGAGGACAACACCAGGTGCCACTGATGTCAGCTAAGAACATGAAACTGAGCCGACAATTCACACAAATACTAACCAAACCACAGCTGTAACACTTGATTAATTCTTCTGTTCTTCTACAACAGCTCTACTTCCAACAGCACATGCTCGCTTTTGGAAGATGGAGTTAAAGACTTATTATTATGCTAACAGAAGTCTTCATTCTCAGACTGCAGGCTTACTGGTGGCCCCTAGAGTTTCTAAAAGCAGAGTGGCAGGCAGACCCTTCAGCTATCAGACCCTTCTGCTGTGGATAAATCTCTAGGTTCAGGAGACACACACCCTCTCTACTTTTAAGATTAGGACTCAAAACTTTCCTTTTTTGATAAAGCTTATACTTAAAGCTGGATCAGGTGAACCTGAACCAAACTGCTGCTGCAGAGCATTTCTTCTTCACTGAACTCTTAACTCCCCAGGTGTTTACACACCACTGCAGCATGTCACAAAATGTTTGTTTTGTCCCATCTCGCTTAGCTCTTATGTTTCTTTACCTTGCCATATAAAGTGCCTTGAGCCAGCTGTTGTTGTAATTCGACACTATATAAATAAACCTGGATTGAATAGAACTGAATGACTCACAACTGGTGTGGTGTTCAAGAAGTAGTGGGAAGGTATCAATTAAATGAAAACGCTTTCATCTCGTGCGGTGATGAAATGTTTCAGCAATGATGCAGATTGTCCATGCCTACCTCCAGGGTTTCTTCTGCTGTGCAGCCTGGCTGCTGCTGCAACTTGCCCGTGTCCAAAGCTTCGATGTATTCGTCACACTTCTTGTAGCCATCATCCAACAGGTCCTGCTTAGCCTTCAGCAGACCCTGGCCTGGTGTAACATCCCCGATTCCAATAGAGAAACCCCTGTTTGCTGAAAGTTGAGGTTAAAAAAATAATTCTGCATTACTTCAGGCTGACCCTTCTGTGTAATCTTTTATTGTTCTTAAAGGGTTTTGAATTTTCTAATATAAACCAAGACACTAGAAGATATCTTGGCATATATCAGACCTAAGAAATAAGTAGTAAATTCCTTGTACACCACCTACAGAGATACACAGGAGCAAGTCTTGCCAAGCGAGACATGGCGTTGGCAGCCTCCAGCTGTCCCCAGTCCCTCAGCAGGATGTAGAAAATGTTATTCTTCGAGCCAGATCCCAAGGTGCCCTTATCCATGCTACCACACATCAGCTCACTGTTGTGAATCACCACAACTGGGGATATGACACAAAAATTGGACAAACAGCGATGCTATTAAATCCAGAATAGAAACACCAGGTGAATAAAACATCGCACCCTGTTCGCCTCAAGACACCTGACACCAATCTGACAGGACATTCTCAAACCTCAAAGGAATTTCAGGAACGTGCTTACTGCTTCTTGTTTTTGCTACATTATCTGAAATCACACTAAAATTTGATGAACTCTCCTAGCGACGGGCAATTACTCAATTTTATTTTTTGCTCATATGTTACTGCTCATACAGGCTTCATTAAACGTTTCTAGGTAGTTGCAGACAAACAAATGTAATCCATTAAATGTATTTAATTTCAATCACAATCAAACTTTAAAGCCTCCTCCTGAAACGTCATCGCTATAAAGACGTGTTTGTAATGTGAGATGTAGTCAAACAAAAGCTTTACAGTTGGTTTCATTAGGTGGACGTCTTTATTTAAGAAACTCACACGAATCATTGTAACAAAGGTCCTCTCCCTTGCCGCAGTACTGTTTGCCCTTGGTGCGTAGGTTGGCATTGACTGGACATTCCTTACTTGGCTTCAGGATTAGGCTGAAGATTTGCTTTCCTGTCCACAGAGCCATGGGCTGACAGACACAGAATAGATTATTAGTGCTGGGTCACAAATATGGACTTATATAACCAGCTCAGCAGTGTGGAGTACCTTTATTATGGCCGGGTGAGGGAGAGAGATCCTAACTCTTTCATCTTTACCCACAAGGATTGACGCTACTATTTGGCAGGCTTTTGATCTGTCAAAGAAGGTGTCCTTCAGCGTCAAGAGGTAAGCACCTAGGCAGTACAAACACATTGTTAATTCACGGGAAATTAAAAAAACAGGTGCCTTTCAAATATTGCAAAACTGCACACCCATCTGGTAGAGAATGGATGTTTTTTAATACCTCCCGATGACTTTTTAACTACTTTCTTAATATTTCCATACATTATACATCTATGTATGATGCTTTTGAGAACCGGGACACTCGTATCATACAAAAACATCTACAGTTGGCTACCACACATCACTGCACTGACCTGTCAGGAAGTCCTGAATAGCAGCAATCAGGGGTTCGCCATTTCTTGGAGTGACAAGATTAGCTTTGGTCTGAAAGAAACGATAATGAGTTGTCTAACTGCAGTTTCCTGTAGACAGCTTTTCATGTGTTCAAAAACACATCGGTCTGTGTGCAGTTTGTTTAAACACCATGTAGTATAATGACACATACCCCCATGAGGATAAGAGCCTCAGCTTTAGCTTCTTCAGTTTGAGGTAGATGGAGATTCATTTCGTCCCCGTCAAAGTCAGCGTTGTATGGCGTGCACACACACTCGTTAAACCGAAATGTCCTGTGAGGTTTGACCCTGGCCTGTGTGTGAGTTTGAAAAGTGCCAAAAACTATGTCATTCAAAAGGATCCAACTAAAATATTTCTCATTAGTCAAGTTTTTTTTTTTAAAGTAGAGAGAAAACTAAAATGCAAACCATGTTCAGGAACCATGTTTTCAGTGTGTAACAGGTAATTATTAAAAGAGAGAAAGTGCAAATAGATTATTTTGACTGCACCTGTAATCTACTTTGACTTTGACTTGACTTAGCACTGGGTTTAAAAGAACCTTTGCAAGTAAAAAGTAAGAAATAACGTCAAGTAAACTATACAAAAAACTACAATCTTTGTAGATAAAACACGAGGAGTCCTAAAACCTAGTCAAGATGTTTTGTGTGTGTTTGCACACCAGCAAAAGAAACGTATGAAACATTTTCAATCTTGTTTTCTTTATCATTTTCATTAGAAAAACAATACGTTAATAATTCTCTGTGTGGCTCTGAAAATTATGGTTACAATACCAGTTTAACAAGTATTTAGGGGGAAAACCCATCTTACAATGTGAGCCATGATGCTGAGTTTGTGCAGAGAAGGCTGTCGATTGAAGAGGACGATGTCTCCATCTATTAGGTGCCTTTCCACCAAATCACCAATCCTCAGTTCCTGGGCAATCTTTTCACGGTTTCCATATTTTAAAAACCTGACAAACAAAATGATTTACTGTTGGTTTCCAAAAAACAGTAGATACGCACTTCTTTTTCACCAAGAATTATTTTATCAACTAAAAAAGATTAATTAATTAAAAAAAACTAAACAAAAAAGGGAAATAAAAGGAAATTCAACAACAATTCACAAGAAAACTTCTCAGCTGCAGTCATTAAATGAAAGTTTTCTACTCAGATTACATTTATGCCTCAGTTCTTCAAAGGATAAGTTTGGAAGATACAGATCTTGAATTCTGACAAGCAGCTTGTCAGCCGAAACTTTACATGCAGGATCTGCTCTTTCTAGTTAAACAGCCCTCAGGCAGCGATGCTGAAACACTTTGCTCCTTTTTCAGACATTCTCACATCATATCAAGTTTTAATCACATGATCATAAATTAGATTATTACTGTTTTTCCATTTTGTCAGTGTATAAACATTTGGGAAGTGGTACTTTTAAACCATTTAAATTCCACGTGTGCCCACTAAAGATTATCATCACATAAAATAAATAGAATAATGAACTTGAGCTGTATAGACTAATAAAAAGAAAGGATATTTTAAATATTAAAGCAGAGAGAATACAACAGAGTATGGAGTAAAATAAATACAAAGTCCTAAGCCTCACCTTTTTATCTGAGTGTGTCTGTTCTGTATGAAGTTGGCTCCAGGGTGAACATCAGGACCATTACGGACCAGTTTCCTCATTAGCTCCAGATTGGCTTTGTTTACCTTGAGATAAGCCAAATTCAGATCCAGTATTACACACACAAGGATTAAAATCAAAAATGGGTATTTAGTGTTATTTCTGCTAATCATGGGGAAAGAGTTACCCTCTCTGGGTATGTCAGGATTTTGGCCACATGCACAGGGACAGCCACCTCATCAATCCTCAGGTTTGGGTCTGGAGAAATGACAGTTCTGCCAGAGAAGTCCACTCTTTTGCCAGAGAGGTTTCCTCTGAATCGACCTGAGTCGCCATTAGAGTAGACAAAATCAGTCATTTAGATACTTAAACTCTTCATTTGTCAATGTGATGTACAAGCAACGTAAAAGCAAACATCTGCCAAGTGCCAAAAAAAGTAAAAATAAAATTAAATGTTGCTAAATTAGCCAAAATTTTATTACACACTATACCTTGCTTTCCCTTGAGCCTCTGCACAAAGCCCCTAGTCCACTTTTTAGGTGCCATATTGAGGGGGATACCAGAAAGTTCACTATTAATGTAAAGGGCACACTGCAGCTGGAGGAAGTCCCAGTCCTCCATGATCATCTGGGTTTTTGCTCCTGTCATACGATGCTGCAAGAGAAGAGTTTGTTAAGTGGGACATCTCCAATTAAACAATACATTTGATAACTCTATTACAGACAGACTGTTTTTTAAAGGATTGATGATTTGAAGATGAATCTTAATTGCCCCTGCTGTTAACCTGTACAGGTGAAAGATACCTTTTTAATGACATCGTTAAGGAAGATTATCTCTGTTAGCTTCATAGTGAGGTCGTCTTCATTGGTGCCAGACTTGAGGTCGCTGACAACAGACGGTCGGATGCAAAGAGGAGGCACAAGGAGACGGGTGATGATAAGGTCTGCGGGTTTCCCTGCTTCGGGGTTCATCAGCAGCAGAGGGATGTCCTCATCAGGAATCCTCCTGAACAGGTTCAGCACCACCAGAGGATTCAGGTTTTCCTGAAAAGAGAATTAGAAATGAGTTTAAAGAATACATCGATTTTTCTAAAAAAAAAATAAATAAATACATAGAAAGAAATTTTAAAAATCCCTTACATCTAAAATAATTGCTTTTAATATTTTTCTAAATTATCCATAAACCATACAGTGACTGTAAGCCACAGCCATGTCGATATATTAGGTCTACTTTTTGGTCCTTTTTAAAAATAAGACCCATGTGTTGCCATATGACGAAATTAGTAGTAAAAAAAACTTCACCTGTGCTCTGGTCAGCAGTGGTTCAACCAGTTTGTTGTGTTCAATGGCAATATCAAAGGACTGCAAGAAATCTGACACAAAAGCATCCACCACTTTCTTGGTCGTCTTATACTTCTCATGGATGATCTTAAGTAGGCCACACTTTTTGACTGGTCCTAAAGAGTAAACACACACACACACACACACACACACACACACACACAGATTGATTTAGCAATCAAGTCAAACAGTGGGTGGCTTTTAAAAAGAGCCAGTTATGAAATGGAAAGGTCTCTTCTCACCATTGAAAGCAGAACAATTTAGACAGACTGTCCTTTTGCGGCATTTATCAGAGATTTTCTTCTTCAGCCCACGTTTCTGGAGGTAGGCCAGGTTAGGCCGTTTCAAGTGATCCATGAACTGCAGCTTCTCTTCTTTCGTCAGCATTATCCTTGAACATGTCTTACAAATCATCTGGATACACAACCCGTCAGAAAGAGGGAACTGAATTATCTTTTAAATTAAATTAAATTATGAAATGTATTGCATATCATTTCACCTTTAACATTTGGCAATACAACAAATGATAACTCAAGAAATAAAGAATCTCTTTATTTCTCGCCTATTTATGGCACTCTAGTGACACCTAAAGGAGAAATACAATTTTAAAATGTGCCTTGCCATTCCTTAAACATGTACTCTTGGAACAATGAAAGGTTTGTAAGATATTTTAGTCACTACAACAAGAAAACACTGGATTTACCTGTAAGATTCCTATCGTGGCTTTGAAATAACCAACATGAAAACAGGGCAGCTCAAGATCCAGGTAGCCATAATGTCCTAAACAATCTGCCAGATTCTTCCCACATGTCAGGCACGGTCTGTCTTTCTCACTGGTGCCCTGCAGGAAGCACGAGATCGGAGAAATAAGGCTGAAATAAATATTTCAATATTATATATTTAAAGTTAAATGTTTAAAGATGTCATAATAAAGAGTGAAAGCTCTTAAAACAATACCATTATGTTCTTATTTATTCATAAAGTAACTTTCCTTTATTTAATTTTAGAAAAGTAGAGACAAACTATATAAATACAAGTGTATACACACGTGTACACAAAGAAAATGTCTCTCTCATATGCATGCCTTTATACCACAACTTCCATTAAGCCTTGAGCCTAAATCTCAAAATGTATATTTAAAAAAGTATAGTATAAACGATATCTTATATCGTTTATGGAAATGGAAACTGTAAATTAACTTTCACATAAAAGGCCTTTTAGCAATCCCTTCCAAAAAAAAAAGTGACATATTTTATGGCCATGCCCTGTATTTATGCATTTCTCAGGTGTTTTCTTGAGTCACTGCAAACAGAAGTAAAAAGTCTTCCATGTCATACCATACGGTGGTCCAACACTCCATAGGCCAGTGGAGTGTGTTTGGTGTCCTGGCTGTAGAGATTTTTACTGACCACCTGGATGTGGGCCTGCTGCCGCATCTGCTCAGCAGATTTCATGCCGAAGCAGATGTGGCTTCTGTAAACAATGACATAAAATAAAGCAAAAACAAATTAAAGAGTTTAATACCTCCAGTTGGTAACAAGAAGAAACATAAGCAGGACTGCTTGAGCTCTGGTCCAGCTTTGGTCAGAAGTTTATAACCAATGTCATAGCCATAGTAATCTTGAACTTTAAATGATTTCTTTGAACTGTTCTTTTTCCAGGTGATAATGATTATACAGGACGCATCTTTAATGGATTTAGTGGATTTAAAGGCTTTATTACTCCATCCATTTTGTACATTGTCAAAAAGTGGATGAAACTAGTAGCAAAAGGTTCTAGAACATGATGCTGCCATTATTATGTTTGACAGCTGGTACCATGTTCGTAGGTTTGAAAGCCTCACCTGTCCTTATCCAAACACACCTCTTCTCATTCTAATCAAACTTTTCTCCATAAAGTATTTGGCTCGTTCGTGTCCATGTTCTGATCACAGCTGTATTGTTGTTGGAACCACTTTTTCTAGCATATCACAGGCAAAGCTTACAAGAAAACCTATAAAATCCCATCTTGAACTTACTGAACTATTGGGTGACGCAAGCTTACAGGGTGATACTAGCGTTTACGTGACACTTAGTTGCCAATATGCAGATTCAATGAGGCATATTTACTCATTTATCACACTTTTTAAATGCGTCCATAAAGGCTTTCAACTCTATTCCACAATTACGTTATGTAAGTACGACTAAATTATCCGGCAATTCAGAACTATTCTTATATTAACTACCTAAACAACTTGTGTGGATAACCGGCGAGCTAACCAGGCTAACAGGATTCCTCTCTCGGTCATACTCACATTTTTTTGGCCACATCTGTCTCTCTGAACTGCTCCTTCACCATTTTAGCTGCTTCTACTACATTAATAATATTACACGAAAGTAAATTGTTATGTTGTCCTCATTGCAGGATGCTAAGCTACAGAAATAGCCAGCATACTGTCATGTTGTGAATATGCTAGCAGTCAGCAGCATGCAATGTGTTGATAGCATGCATGGGGAGCCACCGTGCAGTGCTGCCTTCAGGGTCTATTTGAAATTTAACAACACGTACTCTGATTTTTTTAGTCCTTACTATATGACAGATTTAAAAAGCAAAACTATATGAAACTTACAAAAAGATGCTTTCACCGAATATTACTGGATATATTTAATTGTTTAAATATGTAGACATAAAAATCCACTTTTTTTCTAAGCTTCTTAGAATATAGACATAAAAATACGCATAGTATCTCCTTCTTAAAGAAATGTGGCGATCATATGCTGAGTTAATTTTAATTAACAAAGGCTAATTTTATAATATTCATATTGTGGGTTTTTGTTATTAAAATTTACACTCGATTTTCTTCTCAGCTTAGTCCCACAAAGCTTGTTTTTAATTGCCTATTTATTAAAAATAATAATAATAATACTAATCTGAGTATATAAAAGCCATTGAAGGCATCGTAAGCATACAACCAACAACAGGCGGAAAGAGAAGTCACGGAAGTACGGATACAGCTAATATGACCTGTATGCTGACACCTAGCGGCTAACAGGAGTACTACTTCCAAGGGGATTTGTGGTGAATTTAGCTCATCTTCAAAAATGTAATTAAATTAAATTGAAAAACACTATTTCTGAAAAAAAAAACTCCTTAATTTAGAACTATGACTTTTTGAATGGTTGCTTATATGATGAAAGGGAAATAAAGTAAATGAAGAGAAGTATATTAATGGACTCCAGATGACTGTTCAGAAAATTAATGTACTCTTAAATGTTTTTAAATATAACAACATAGGGATTCTCATGTAAATCCATCAATCCAACACACACACACACACACACACACACACACACACACATATTTTTATATATATGGATGGATTTGCATGACAATTTTTCTCAAATATTTCCTCAGTGAAAATGCATCAATCTATGCTCTTATATCACATAATGTATGTTTAACAATTCAGCCTCTAGATGGCACCAAATGCTTTTCCAGCCGCTGGAAACAGTGTGAGGGAGGCAGCTCGGGCTAAACAAACCTGCTGTTGTACCTGTGTGCTTTGATGCGTTGCCATTGAGGCACTGATGGCGACTGATGACTTCCTGATGAAAATTTCCTCCCACAACATGCTTGCGTTGATTAATTGTTCTGTCAGCTTATAACCACTGACAGCGAAAATTGCCCAACTGAATCTGATTTGCAATTTTCTAATTCTGCTGACATGTGAATCTAAGAAGGCCTCTAATTGAACCTCTAACACAGTGTTTAACAAGGTCTGCCCTTTTTCAATCTGCCTTTCGTGACAACAGCTTCCTGAAAAGGTTGGTCTCTAAAAGGATAGTCCAGTACTTAAAACATATACATATACGTACACAGCATGAGAAATGATCCAGATAAACACTTGAGGGACTTCTGCTAACAACGCCTTCAGCTTAAGGGGTAACACAGTAATCGCTCTTTAAAGTGCCCCTTGAGCATCTATGTGTACAAAACTGTGTATGAAATAGAGTACGGTTGGTTAATCGTCCAATCATGAGCAGAAGCACAACCTCACAAACGCAGCACTCCCCATGGAGGAGTTGAATATCTCAGACTACTCAGATCCGAGGTCTGCTCAGGGAAACCACCTCTCAGGAGGGAGGATCCAGGGATTTGTTTACTGTCACTGTGCTAAATTGTGATAGATTTAGTTTCAGAGAAAGGCTTTTAGATGAATTATGCAACTTTTTCCCTTGTATATGCTGAAGCTCTAGGGTCTGTAATGACCAGATAATGCATTTTGCCAATTTCCACAAAATCTGCAGGATTGATGTATACTAAAGTTGAGAGAGTCCCTAGATTATTATGTATTTTATTAAGACTGAAAATGGTGAAAAGTCTAACACAATGAATTGACGTTATTAGTATTCAGTATTCACAGCAACAGTCGTCTCGAGGCATTTTGTACTGTAAAGTAAACCTCATACAATATTAAAGCGAGCGCTCCAATGAATAGGCAGCCGTCTTTGAGCAAGCACTCGGGGATGGTGGAAAGGAAGAACTCCCTTCTAACAGGACGAGACCAACAAAAAGGTGGGGGCAGCCATCTAACGCAAGCAGTTAAGAGGTGAGGGTAAAGAGGAGCGAAAAAAGGAAACAATACAGAGACCAAGGACAAAAATCCTAATATGGTGAATACACTATATAATTCAATTACATCAAAGCTAAACAGACGTGGTTAATCTTTACATTTAAGAAGCTGATACAAAGCAATTTCATATATTTTTATTTGATGATCTAAATATTAGTAATATCCAAAAATATCTAAATTATTTATATGTGTAAATAGATGATTACAAAGCACTCATAAGCCCCCCTATAATACTAATTCTTGAGCGCCACACGTATTTGTAGATCAATGTAGCCACCAACTTTGTGTAATTAACATGAGTAATTACTGTGCTTAATTTACAGAGCCACCCAAGGTTCATAATCAGGCTACAAAACATTGACCCAAGACAATTGATTGATCCCTTCCTCCTTTAAAACCATGCCCCTGCTAATGACTAAGTAATGAGGAGATAGTGTATGGCTAGGGTGGCTAATACAGCTTTCACTCTCCATATCCAGACTGGCTGGTGCCCCTCCCTCCACCCTATCCCCTGTACTCCATCTCCTCCTCCTCACCATGTTTTCTGCAACGGTGTCATCTCTTCGCTCAGAGGCCCCTCTTCCTCTTTCCGCGTGTGTGTCTGCACGCGTGTTGTGTGTACTGCTCGGTAATCAGCCACACAGACTCGCCTTTGGTGGCTGGAGACTGATTCAATATTCCACTGGGTAATTTATGCAGAACTAATTCTCTACAGGAATGGAAGGGCTTGGAGGAAGGCTGAAAGAGAGAGGGAAAGAAATGCAGGGAGGAAGAAATCTGTGGTGAAATAATTATCCTCGGTGTCACTGTAGCAACATTCTGTGAAGTTGATGTCAATAATATATTGAGCTACCCAATCCATTTCAATTTCACCTCAAAAAGATGCTGCAGAGGGCCACGCGGCCGCGGGAATAAGGAGAGCGCATGCACATCGACACACACACGCGAGCATATTTCTGTTAAACTCACAGCAATGTGGCGACTGCCGACGTGTGCTGCTTACAGACCGGCTGGGAAGCACATCATTGCCTGTAGTCATTTAACTTGTCAAAACAGCAGGGCTCCGTGTCTACTCATATTTGGATTTAGTAGCTTTGAATTACTGAAAATAAAGTGAAAGAGGATGATGTGAAAAATGAAATGAGGGGAGAGAGCTTCCCAGGAGGGCCATTGGGAGAAGAGTATAGATTATGGTCATTTGTGACCGACGGGTTTGTAATAAGAGCCAGGTGTCAGAGTGCGTTTCTGTATATGTCTGTGTATGTACCAAGGGTGGGGATGGGGACAGGCTTCATTGTATTCTTCTCACAACTCTCATTGATCAGCACAGCGCACACAGAGCTGCATATCATTACATTTGAAAGACAGTAATGCTTGATCTACAAGCTCTGCTTGACCATACGTCAGTATGAATCAACACATACTGTAGTTTGTGACACTTAGTATAGGCTATTACAGTGTACAGAACTCTATGTGAGATTGAGCTGTTAATGTAATCACAGGGTGGTCCAGGAATACCATAAAAAAGACATTTTGGACAGCCATTCTAAGTTCAAAGACATACAATCATCTTTCCTCAGGTAAGTAGTGAACTCTAGAGCTGAAAACTGAAACCAAGGTCCATGTGCCATATGTGCAGTTCCCCTACTGGCCACTTGAGGCTACATCTAAAACTGAGTAAATCCCCATAGACTCCAATGCTAAAATGCCCAATTTTGCACCACTAAAAATCATGTTTACAGCCTGACAGAAAAATTGGGTCTAGCCTCTATGGACGGTTACCCCTTTTAACCAACTCTACAGGGTGTGATTTTATTAAGTCATCAATGTGGGTAATGCAGTTAGGGCGTTACGGCTTAGATTGACAGACAGTGTAAATGATGGATGTTGCTGCCTTGATGTCATCCACTGGTTTCTGGAATCCTTTTATTTGAATCCACTGTCATCATCTTGGCTTCAAAAAAACTAGATGTGATTAGGAGGCGCAGGTGTGACTGTGAAACCACTTGCTCGTTTGATGATTGACGGCCAGTGAAGCACAAGTCAGTAGCCAAAAAGCATACCAGAGATATTCGTCCTTTTTTAAATAGAGTATGATCAAAATTTGCCAAATGAACTTCATTTTGTAGTGTAATGAAGTGTATTGAACCAAAAGTCTTTTTACAACCACGTCTGTCGTCTTCTTGAAGCCTTCAGCTAAAATTCAGTATTAAGGCTCTGCTGTATTGACTTAATTTTTCTGACCAGGAAGCTACAGCCATGTTATACAGTCTATGGTACGTATAAAACAATGTAAAGGCTGCTGGAGCCGATGTGTGTCTGGTAGTCTTCACTTCTGTTAATCTGGAGCTGCTGGTGACTTGGTTAACATGGTTAACAGTCTGCATGCTGTGAGGCAACAGTGCTAACGATCGCTCCATGCCAAGGCTTTTCTGCGTGGAGTTTGCATGTTCTCCCCATGTCTGTGTGGGTTCTGTGTGGGAACTTTAGCTTCCTCCCACAGTCCAAAGACACGCATCAGGTTAGAATAACTGGTGATTCTGAATTGCCCATACATGTAAATGTGAGTGTCTACCCCAGCTCTCATCTTATGGTAGCTGCAGGCCCCTCCCCATTGCAACACTGCAATAAGGGTAGGCAGAAGAGAATGGATGGATGGATGGATTTGTACCTGCCTGCTGAAAACAGTATCTTATAGCCAGCAAGCATGATTGTGACTCCTTATGACTGATGTAAAGAGTTGTTGCCTAGCACTACATGTAATAATATAGCATTAGTTTAGAACTACCTAGACCACAAGTGACTCAAGCCAGAGTCTTGTCTCATTCCCAGTGCTGATTTGGGAATGAGACCACATTGTGCCAACGCTAAAATGACTAACAC